CTCTCTCTCTTTCCTTCCCCCCTCTCTAGAATCAATAAACATATCCTCATGTGAGGACTGGGGGAGAAAAAAAAAAAGAGTACTTACAAATTTGAAACAGAAGGCCAACAACTTAGTAGAAAAATACATGACAAACAGTTGACAGCAAAGAAAATCAAAATGGCTCTTAAACACCCGGAAAGATGCTTCATTCATAAGAGAAATGCAAAGAGAGAGAGAGAGACAAACTGAAATTATAGTGAAATACGGTCTCATCAGATAGGCAAAACTCACTGAAGGAAGGCAACTTGGCAACATCAACCAAAATTAAAGTGGACATTCCTTTGACTCAACAATTTCTATTTTAGGAATTTTCTTATAGAAATATTCCTATAATAATGAGATAATATACCTAGAAAATTCATTGCAACACTATTTGTAATAACCAAGTATTTCCAACAACCTAAATGTCTATCAATAGGGAACTTGTTACATAAGCTGACATCATGCAAAGGAGTGGAGATGTATACGTACAGCTGGGGGAAGTCTTCACAACGTGGAGGCTCTGTAGGGTATGCTAGATTGGAATTACATATATAAAATGAGGCTGGGGACCAGGACCAAGCTCCAAAGGCGCAGCTGGAGCAGTGACAGAAAGCGCAGGAGCAGAGCTGGGGACCGTGGCGAGCCCCGAAGCCAGAATTAGGGGGCCCGGACAGGGACCAAACTCGAAAGGCCTGGCTGGGATGGTGACTAAGTGAGGGAGCAGGGCCAGGAGGAGACTTGAGAGGCTGGAGCTGGGGAGCAAGGCCAAGATGGGAAGGTGTAGCAGAGGCCGTCAGAATCCTGGGGGCCGTGTTCGGGGCCGGAGCCCAGAACATGGCAGAGAGCTTGGCTTCTACCTTTCAATACTTAACAATGTTTTTTGATGCATATGCATGAGAATAATTTGTAGATGTGAAATAATGTTAAAGGGCATGTTGAATTTTTTGTTTTGACTGATAGTGACAAATTGTTCCCATAGAGGCTGAGTTGACAGTCCTATCAAATATCATTCATTTTTAAAATAGCAGTTGATAAGGAACATAATCAGGACGCACCCCAACTGGGGATCAAACCCATGACCTGGGTATGTGCTCTGACCAGCGATCTAACCCATAACCTTTTGATATATGGGCCAATTCTCCAACCTAGCCACCCAGCCAGGGCTGGACAATGGAAACTTTTAAGGGTAGTTGCTCCTGGGGAGGGACTGGGGTCTGAAGGCAAGCAGACTTCATGTGCTGCATATATACTTTTGTACTGCTTGAGTTTTTACCATGTGCAAATACATATTACCTATTAAAAAAAAGTAAGTCCCAAATATGTATTAATAAATAAAACCTTCAATTAAAAGTAAATAAATAAATAAATAAAATGAAAACAGTAATTGTACCTGATGTACAGGGCTGTTGTGAAGGTTAAATGAGTTAACAGAAATACTGAAAGTACTTAGAACAGTATCCAAAATATATACCATTAACTATTTTCTTATACATATTGTTAATAAAAAGAACAAGGGGCTAAACGGCATGTACAATAATTTTTATAAAAGAAAAGTAGCCCTGGCTGTTGTGGCTCAGTGGACTGAGTGCTGGCCTGTGAACCAAAGGATTGCTGGTTCAATTCCCAGTGAGGGCACATGCCTGGGTTGAGGGCCAGGTCCCCAGTCGGGGATACACGAAAGGCAGTCACACATTGATGTTTTTTTCCCTCTCTTTCTCCCTCCCTTCCTCCTCTGTAAAAGTAAATAAATAAAATCTTAAAAACAAACAAAAAATAAAAATAAATTAAAATAAATTTTAAAAAAAAGAAAAGTAAACCATTACCATTGTGGCTCACTTGGTTGGGCATCATCTCACAAAGCGAAAGGTTGTTCTTTGGATTCCCAGTCAGGACACATGCCTGGGTTGCAGATTTGGTCCCTTCTGGTGGGGAGGTTAGGGGCTTAGGAGTGGCAACCAATTGATGTTTCTCTTTCTCATCCATGTTTCTCTCCCTCTCTTTCTCCCTCCCTTTCCCTCTCTCTCAAAATAAATAAAATAGTTTTCAAAAAAAGAAAAATAAGCATATGGGTAAAATGTCCTTAAAAACTTCATAAATCACTAACAGTGGTTGCTCCTAGAGAGAGTACCTGAGGGGCCAGGGGCAAGGCAACTTATTTTCACTGTCTACCTTTCTATACCTTTTTCATTTTTTACCATGGGTATTCGACATCTATTTGGAAAGATAAGTTAATTTTTTAAATAGAAAAATATCAATCAGAAACACATAAAAAAGTAATTAAATTTTATGAGATGTAGAAATTCTCTTCCAATCTTTCCCATTAGTGAATGATTTTTCAGATACTTGCTCCACACTTTCAAATTATTGATGAAGCATAGTGCTTGCACCTCAAAGTGTATGTGCTCCTCAGAGCAGCAGCCTCCATATTACCTAGGAACTTGTTAGAAATGCAGAATCTCAGGCCCCACCCCAGACCTACTGAATCAATCTACATTTTAACAAGATTCTTAGGCAATTTGTCTGAAGGATCTTGAAACAATGAGCTAGCCCTGGCTAGTGTGGCTCAGTGGATTGAGCGCCAGCCTGTGGATTGAAAGGTTGCTGGTATGGGTACATGCCTGGGTTGAGGGCCAGGTCGCTGGTTGGGGGCCTGTGAGAGGCAACTGATCAATGTTCTTTCCCTTACACTGATGCTTCTTTCCCTCTCTGTGTCCCTCCTTTCCCCCTCTCTCTAAACATGAATACATAAAAGCTTTTAAAAACACACACACATTGAGCCAGAAGACATAATAAAACACAAAGAGACACAAAACGAAAACACTGCTCTACTCTTGTCTCTAATGTTTGAACCCCATCCTTTCAAAATTGCTGTGGTTAGACAATTCAAGAAAACAAATTGCTGAGTGAAAGAAGGCATGCAAAATAATCCAACCTATATGACTCCATTTATATAAACTTCAAGAGTTACACTAATCATGGTGTTAGAAATCAGAATACAAGTTACCTTTGGAAAGGAGGGAGGAGGTAAACAGCGGCAGGACCCATGGGTGAGCACTGGTAATGTTGCTGGTTATATATAGATCTGTTTGTGAGAAATCTTTTTTTTTAATAACTTTTAAAATGTATTGAATTTAGAGAGAGAAAGGAAAGGAAAAAGAGAGGAGAGAAACATCAATTTGTTTTTTCACTTATTTATGCATTCTTTGTTTGATTCATGTATGTTTCCTGCTTGGAGATCAAACCTGCAACCTTGACACATTGAGACAATGCTCTAACCAACTGAGCTACCCAGCCTAGGCTCTTTGTGAGAATTCTTAAGGTCTATACACTTCTGATTGGTGCACTTTTTAAAAATATTATACTTCATAAAAAGGTCTTTAAAAATTCCACTATTATCTCCGACCTCAAACCCCTTGACCATGCCTGTTTTGGGGGAAAGCAAGGTTCATGAGAAAAATATACCAAGCTAATAAATTATCTACACTGATTTAATTACTGATAGGTAACTCCCACACACTTATGTCAGAATTCCCCGTGCATTTTAAAAGGTGCCTACTATTGACTGCATTCAGCCAAAAGATGACATGATCACAATAGAGCTTCAGGGTACCCTCTGGAGCAGTGGGCGTAGAGCAAGCACAGACTCTACTCTCTAACTTAGTAGGTTTGGAGCCTGGAGCTACCACTCATCAGCTGTAATATATAATCTTGGGTAAGTTATTCTGTATTTCTTATGTCCCCCCTTTAAAGGAATGCTCTGTGTATTAAATGAGATAATGTATATGAAGTGCTAAGCACAGGGCCTAGCATGTAATAAATAGACCACCAATATACAATTATTTGAGTAAAGGTCTTCTCAGCCAATAATTCCCAAACACTACCTCACAGATAATCATCACCTGCAGTTAAGGATAATCACAGCAAGAAACATTCTGAAAGCTACTTTTCTGGAAGTCAACTCAGGTGTGATGATCCCTGTGGGAACCAGAATCTGGAGTGTCAGCAACAGGTTTTTCAGGATATACGGTATGCTTTCAGAAGCACCTGCCTCGTTCCATTACCCTTAGCCAGCAGTGTACACCTGTGCCCGCCCAGTTTCCCCACAGTTCTCAGCATAGAGCTGGGCCTGTTTCTCACGCCTCCTGTTGCACGTCCCCAAGAGCTTGCTCTAAACGCTTCTGAACTAAAATTTTCAGGCAGAAATATTGGGAAGCAAACTTCAGGCTTTTACGTCTCGTACTCAAGAGGTTCACCATTCTCTTTGCCCACTTTTTCCCAGTTTCCCCTGGCTCCAGGCAACAGCGTAGAAATGAGAACAAAGTCTCACACGCAATGATAGAAGGAAAAGTCTGAGAGGGGTAGGAGACAAAACAGTCTTTGTCCTTGTTCCAAGATGAACTTTTTCAGAACATTTATTTTTTTAAAAGGTGATTATTTCTAGGTGATATAGAGGAAGGGGAAGAAACATGGACTTGTTGCTCCACACATTTATGCATTAATTGGTTGCTTCTGGGATGTGCCCTGACCAAGATTTGAATCTGCAACCTTGGCATATTGGGACACTCTATAATCGACTGAGCTACCCAGCCACAGTGGTATTTAGCATTTTTTAAATAGTGCAATTTTTTTTTATTGTACTTTTTCCATTACCATTTATTGCCCTCATCCCCTCTTCCACCTCCACCACTCCCCCACCCCCAAGTATTTAGGGGTTTTTTAATGATTTTCTGCATTTTTCCCAATTATCTACAATGACTAGGTATTATCTTTAATATCAGATTCTTTCGGGTCTTCTCTAGTTACAATTTGTGCTCAATGCAAAAAACTTTGAAAGCACAAAGGAAACAAAGCTTCCTTGATCACATGTAAAGGTAACAGCTGTTAACATTTTGGCATATGTCTTTCCAGACTTTTCTCTATGTGGAAATGCTTAACTTTTGTGATCTAGAAAAAAAGTAAATTTAAGAGACAAAGCCTTAGGTCTTTAGTCTTCAATTTTATTTGTTTTTAAACAGCATCTACGGATTTGGAAATGTCCTTAACAGCAAGGGCCCACCCCATGCACTCCCCCAGCCCGGGCTGGGGTCCAGGCTCCAGTAACTCCCCCTCGCCCACTCCAGCCCTCAGGCCTGTTTTCTCTCCATCTCCGGAGACCTGGGACAGAAGAGGGTCTCCAGGTAGAGGGAAAGCTGGGACTATGAGATGCTGCACGGAAGGGCTGGGCTCAGACACAGCTGCCTTTGTTAGTGTCAGGGTATTTCGGGATTTGGTAGCATGCTCAGACACACTATACGAGGGCGTGAAGAGGGGCTGCTGGTCTCCTCTCTTGCCGCACTCATTTGTGGGCAAGCCCTACAGCACCCCTTCTTGCCAGGCTTGGGGCACTGCCTTTAGAAGTTGGGCAAGTGGTAGCCTGTGGTAATCCAGCATGCCTCGCTGCGACCTGGTAGAGCACTTTACTCCTGGCCTAAGCAGGGTTGGCAATCAGAAGGTGACGATTCAGACCTGAGAATCTCCCACCACCTCTTGTCACAGGGCTTAGGTCCTGACTGTACCAACTCTCACCTAAAGGGGAATAATACAAGGGTATCTCTTTGTGAGGAGGGGCAAACCTGGGCATCTAAACCCCAAGCATGGGCACAGCTGGGCCCCTAGGCCAGAAATACCTCAATGCATGCACTGAAGCAGCAGGGCAGCTCAGCCAGGAGAGCAGGGGCCCACAGGGCTAGATGCACTCTCCCCCAACTCCTTTCCACACCCATGGTAACCATGGAAACATAACCACCCCCTCTTGCCAGCTGCCTGGGTTTAGACAACCAGGCCTGGCCCACCTCCACACAGCCAAGGCCTGAACTGAGGAGACCAGGCTGGCCACAGAGTGGCTGCAGGAAGAACTGGGATTGGGTGGTTTGGTCAGTCCAGGCTTCCAGCACAGCTTGGGAAGACTACCACAGGAGCCTCCACGCCTTGCTGCCTGGGCTGGGGTCAGATGGGGCTAGGTCAGCCAGCAGAGCTAGCCGCATGGCCCCAGATGCCCCCTGCCGATGGACTAACAGCTACTGTGGGGCAGTAGGCCTTGCTGCAGCAGCAGGAGCCTCTGGGACTCGTTGTGGGGGCTTTCTGGCTGCTGCTCTTCCTGCCTGGGCTGCTCAGCTGGCCCTGCAGGGCTGAGGATGTACCGACAGTCACTGGGCGTGCCCCCTACTGCCCCCATGCCGCTGCCACCCTCAGCCCCGCCACAGGCCTGGCCCCCACCAGGCAGCTCCCGGCTGTGTCCGTCAGCAGGCTCCTCAGCTCTCTCCAGGTTAATGTATAAGGGGTCCTGGCTGGTGGACAGCACAGACAGGTGGCCCAGAATGTTTTCCAGCTCCATCCGCAGGCATGTGAAGCTTGGGCGCTGCTTGGGGTCGGCGGTCCAGCACTGGTACATGAGCTCATACCTGGGGCAGAGAGAAGAGTGAGGGGCAGTAGTGAGGAGCCAGGAGAAAGGGGAAGGGGAGGGCGTTCCCTCAAAAACAGAGGGCCTTTAAGCATACAAAACCAGATTAGAAAATATTTTTTTTAATATTGTTTAATTATTTGTTTTTAGAGAGAGGGGAAGGGAGGGAGAAAGAGACGGAGAAAAACATCTATGTGGGAGATATACGTCCATCGGTTGCCTCTCACGTGCCCCCAAACTGGGGACCTGGCCCATAACCCAGGCATGTGCCCTGACTGGGAATCAAACCAGCGACCTTTTGGTTTGCAAGCTGGTGCTCAGTCCACTGAGCCACACCAGCCAGGGCCAAAACCAGAATTTAAAATTTTTTTTTTTACTTTAATACATTCATGTAGGGCTTACCATGTATTTCAGGAACTCTTCTCACAGCAACCCTATGAAATAAGTGATCCCGACTCTAACGGTATGGAAACTGATGCACAGAGATGTTAAAAACATTTACTAAGGTCACACAGGTGAAAAGTGATGAAGCTGCAACTGGAAGCCAGGTGGGTTGGCCCCAGAGTCCCTCCTATTCCTCTCAGGAGGAAGTACTAGAAGTGTTTGTCTTGCAGAACACAGCCTGGAATGTAGATTTTGACATCTACCCTTTGTCCTAAATCCTTAACTGTTCAGGCAGTCTTAAACCCTTTGTTCACTGATACCTTTGAGATCTGAGAAAAGCTTCCAGCCCTCTTCCCCCTGCAGGAACAATTTTGACATAGTTTCAGGAAACTTATAGATCCCCTGAGGTCTTATGCTGCCCCTAGGGCATGCCTCAGGCTGAGGAGGGAAAAAACTGATGGGAGGGGGCTGAGGCCAGATTAGTCAGAGAGAGCAAATGCCCTTCCTGGTGCCTACAAAAAAGGCTCCCAACAGTCCCCACACACCAGAGCTCCTGACAGGGGCCTCCAATGATGGAGGGAACCGTGCCAGACACCGAGTAGGCCGTGGGAATGGTCTGGGGCCATGGGTCTGTGGCCAGGCTGCGATACATTGTCAAGGCTGTGCTAGGAGCCAACTGGCGCCTGTCCACCAGGCTGCCTGGTGGGAGGCCAGCATCTGCCCACCCTCTATTGACAGCAAGCACAGGAGACTAAGCCAGGGACTGGTCCCCACTGCCCAGTGGACTCTCAGTAGCTCCAGGGGCCTAGGCAGGCTGCAACCCAGCTTCCTGTCCCTGCCATGCCCTGAGCTCGGCGGAATGAATAAGAGGGGTAGGGCCTGGTTTGTGACTCAGATTTGTCTCTTACCCACAGTCCAGGATCAGGGCACTTGGAACCCACTGCCCTAGAGAAAGAGGGCCCCACCATTCAGGTTGAGCCTTCCTCTACCTGTCCACAACCTTGGACTGCTGGAGGTCCAATCCCACGGCAAGAAATAGAGGTAATCCTACTCTAATCCTATGAGGAAAAGACTATTATGTATTATCCCCATTTTGTAGAAGAGGAACTGGGATTAAAGAGGTTAAGTAGGGTGACCAATGTCATACAGCTACTAAGTGAATGAGCTGGGGTATGAACCTAGATCCCTGTCACTTTAGAATATGTGCCTCTTAACCATGACGCCCACTGTGACTTGTCTGTTCTTCCCTCACCCCATGCAAGCTGGAGTGTCCCTGGGCCCCCAGAGGACCTTTTCACTAGTACCAGCAGGAGGGAGTCCCTTCACTCCCTTAAGAGGCCAAGGGAAGAAAGGAACCCAACCTCCCGCCCCCAGCACCCCCTCCTTGTCAAAAGCAAGGAATGTGATGGAGCAGCAGTTTTTTCCCTTGTCCCAGTGCAGCCCTCTCTTAGCGGGAGGGAAAGCTGTGCTCTGCCTAGGAGGTCTTAGGCTGGCTGGGGACTGCGCAGGAGCGGGGGAGGGGAGGTGACAGGGAAACCTGCACTGCCTGCTGCTCAGCTCTGTAACTTCTGCCTTCTAGGCTCTTGGTTCTCCCTGGAGACTGGAGAACAGAGTGATAGGAAAAGGCTGGAGTAAGAAATATGAGAAGAAAGGAGGAAAGAAAGCAAACAGGGAGGTGGTAGATGAAGAAGTTTGGGGTGAAGGTCAATCTTCCCTCTTATGAATAACATAGACATTAAAAAAAAAAGAAAAGAAAAGAAAGAAAAGAAAAAGGTCTAATGGAGCTTCTGAGCCACCACTGGCCTGGAAGCTATGGTGTCAGTCATCAGCTGAAGCCCTAAATTCCTGTTTCCTCCCTTAATCCCCTTCCTGGGGCACTTACACGTCCTCCATACAGTCCGGAGGCTGTTTCAGGCGGTTCCCGCCGATGAGGTAGTTGTAAATCTCAGCATTCTCGATGCCAGCATATGGTGTCTGCCCACGAGTCATGATCTCCCACATGGTCACCCCAAAGGCCCACTGGGACAGAATCAAAGTAAGAGGAAAGGTGTCATTAGGCTTCCTGAGCCAGGCAGAGCCTCTGAGGCAAGCACATCTTGGGGCTCAGGGACCTGATACAAGGCAGCCAAGGCCCAGAGCGCTGACCTGGCTGGGCCCTTGAGGATCCTAAAAGTCCACCCACACACTAGTCCACACCACTTGCATTACCAAGCCTCACTGTGCCACCACACTCACCACGTCACTGTGCACAGTATACAGGTTGTCAGCCAGGCTCTCGAGGGCCAGCCACTTGACAGGCAATTTGGAGGCACAGCCCTGACGATAGTAGTCCCCGCTATAGATCTTCCGGGAAAGCCCAAAGTCGGCTACACACACAGTCATGTCTTCTGCCAGCCTGTGAGGAGTATTGAAGGACGGGGTCACACTGGCAGCCTTACCAGGTTCCCAAGCTGTCTCCTGGAGTAGCAGATATTGCCCTGGGCAAGGGCTGACGATTAGCCAGCTCCTGCTGGCACTAGCTACTCTCTCCCAGCCCGAGCCTCCAGAATTCACATACATGCAATTCCGAGCGGCCAGGTCTCGGTGGATGAAGTTCCGGGAGCTCAGGTACTCCATGCCGCAGGCAATGTCCACCATGAACCGAATCAGGGTCTGCAGGGGCAGGTCCTGGTGGGCAGACAGAGCAAGCTCAGGCTGGATCTGCCCACCCAGTCAGAGCGGCGTAAATGGGGTTCCCGGCCAGAAAGCCTAAAGACTGTCCTTGGAATCACTGAAAGGAAGGAAATGGAGGGGCTTCCCAAAGCAAGGAAGCTTTGGCAAATCTTCAAGAATGCCCCAAGTCAAGATTCCCCCAACTGGGGGCTCCACAGGTCTCTTCTCCCAGAAGATGTCTTTGCCCAGCCTAAAATTTCCAGCAAGCATAAAAAAGTCAAACTCGACAAACACCATATGATTTCACTCCTATGTGGAATCTAATGAACAAACTGAACTAACAAACAAAATAGTGGCAGACTCAAGGAGCAGGCTGACAGCTCTGCGGCAGGGCAGTTAGGGGGCCAAGGGATCAAGCAAAAAAGAAAAAGGACTCATGGACATGGACAAGACTGTGGTGATTAGGAAGATGAATGCTAATGGAAAAAATACAATAAAAAAGAGTCAAATTCAAAGCCTGCCTTCTCCAAACCAGTTCACTTGGAGCTCCCCACCCAGACCACCTGTCTCCCAGGGTCTTTGTCCCTTTCCTACTCCCGGCCAGCCCCCCCCCAGGCACTCACAAAGGGGTTCTCCCCAATCCGGGAGGCGAGCAGGAAGGCGTGCAGGTCCCCGTGCTTCATGAAGGGCAGGATGACCATGGGGATGGGGAGACGGCCTTTGGCCCTGCTCCGGAGGCTGACCCCTGGGAACAAACAAGAGTCAGGAGCGGGTCCCACAATGGTCAAAGGATGGCTCAGGTGTCTGCATGAGCCCCCGCCTGCTGAATCCTACCTCTAGCACTGGCTCCACTACCTCTTACCCCAAAAGTTCCACACTGGCCTAAGGACCACCCAGGATGAACTATGGCTGCCACCAGATCTCTGGAGCATCTTCTCTGTCCCCTTTTCCTCCAAGTGCAGACTTTTGGTACAGGGCCTACAAACTAAACTCCTTACCTGGAGTCTGAGCAGATTTCAGCCAGGACCTCCTGGCTATTTTGCCATCTGCTTGCTCACCAGGTAAGGCTGAACTTCACTCCCGCAGGCTGCCCTCCCACCTTTGGGGAGCACAGTTTTAGCCTTATTTTGTATCTGCCTCCCCTAAGAAGGAGCTCACCAACAAGCTTGGCCACATGTGGGTGGTCAAACTCCTTCATGCAAGCCGCTTCCCTGAGGAACTCTTCAATGTCACTCGAGGCGATGATGTCAGCTGGGAGAGAAGGATGGGAGGAGGGGATGAGGAAGATGCGTCCCCAGTTCTGACCCAAGGCTACCCTGTCCGTCAGATACCCTGGGCTTCCCAGGGGGCCCAGCGGACAGTCTGGCCAAAAGCAGGAGAATCCCTGCTATGGGAGTGGTGCTGTCTAAGAATTCCTCCACTCGCTAATGCCTTCCCTTCGGAAGCCCAGAAGCTCATCCAACCACGGCTTTCATCACTCTGCGTGAGCCCAGAGGACAGTCACTGCTGCCGGCAGAGACCAAAGGCTGGGGCATGAGTGTGTGTGCGTTCGTGCCTGTGAGTTATTCGCATGGCATCCGGTTAGTGCTGACTAACTCTTCTTGGAAAGTCCAGGGACCCAGCAGAGGCTGCTTTCGGATCAGTCACCCCGTTCATCCTCTTACGTGATGCCCTCACTCCACATCTACTATTCTCCACTCACCTTTCAGCATCTTTACAGCCACTTTCACAAATGAGCCATCCTCCTGCTTCAACTGGGCCTCCCGCACCGAACCAAACTCTCCTACAAACCAATCCAAATTATGGTGAAGAGTCCCATTACCCTTTGTCCTCCCTTCCCGTCTCTCCCAGGTGACCCTCCATAGGGACACAAACTCATTAGGCTCTGGGGCCACTGGAGGAGGCTCCCTCATCCACAACCAAAGCACAGCATGCTGGGAGTAACTCCTCATCAGTACCCCCTGTCTCCAGCTACCATTCCCCCAAGCATCCCAAACTCAGGAGTTTATAAGCATATTCCCTTTATAGGATCTGACCCAAGTCCACACCCTCAAAGGGATGGGAACAACTAAACACACCCAGACATGGCAAACTCCACTCACGCCAACCACTGCACAGCCCCACATACCTTTGCCCAACATGCGGCCCAGGGTGAACTGCTGCTCTGGGATGAGCACATCCTCCAGTTTGTCCTTCAGTTCATCACTGATGCCCAAGCTGTCCACTGTTGGGGAGCGGCGAGAGAAAGGAAAGGGGCCCTGGTTCCAAATCCAAAACGGAGCCTGCCTCCTACACCCCAGACTCCACCCACAGAGCAGAGATAAGCTTAGTTTAATTCTGCCACAGCTAGAATGGCGACCTCCACCAGGGTAAGATCTGTGTGTCTTTTCCATACTGTGTGCTTGGGACTCATCATATTGGTCAAATTAATGAATTAGTAATAGGAAAACAGGCAGGGGTACAGGACAGCCCATTCTGCCCGCATGTGACTCCCCACCACCACTCACGTGTGGCCTCGATGCGTTCAGGCCTTTCCCGATTGAAGGACCGGGCTGCCCTAAAGTGAACGGCTGGCTCCCCTCGAGCCATGACGCTGTCAAAGGCTTGCCTAAAGGGAAACCCAGGACTCGGGGTCAACCCCCAGGTCTTCAGTCATCACCCACCTCCCCCTCTGTGTCCCTACCCCTTACCCGAAGCGTGTCTCCTTCCGCCTCTTTCGAAGCAGGATGAGAGCCAGGGCGGCGGCCGTCACCAGGGCTGTCAGCACGCCCAGGACCACAGGCACCCAGGATGTGCGGCTGTGGGGAGGGCCCTGCTGGCCTGTGGGAGACACAGGCGTGAGGCAGACTAACACCACAGAGTCCCCTGAAAGCTTTCTGATGATGGCCATCTGGCCTGGTCGAGACTCCCTAAGTCAATTAAGGTCCCGAGTAGAGAGGGGCTCCAAAGGACGTCCCAAGAGTTCCTACCCTGTTAGCAACATGCTCCGGCTATTGGGACCTAAGGCACAACCAGAGAATGAGGTGTAGTTTGAGTATCAACTGTCAACTGCTTGACTCTGAGTCATTGGGCCTGTTGACAGGTAAGGTGATGCCAGTCTCCTCTCGTCAGTCTGGGGTGCCCTTGAAAGACTTCATCCTGTCCCCTCCCTCTATCAGCCTCACCTGCGCGGTCATGAGAGGAGACCACCAGTGGCTGACTCCAGGGCCCACAGCCAACTGCATTGGAGACACACACGCGTGCGATCAGGTCCTTCTGGGGATCCCAGACTGTCAAGTTGGCCCAGGTCCCCTCCACTATCAGTTCACCCTGCAGCCAAGAAAAGCCCCCATCTCACAGTGAGTCTGAGGAAAAGGCCTCCAGCTGGGGATTGAAGGCAGAAAAAGGTCTAGCTGGTAACATGGGAGTCTAGGGACACGGGGCCCAGAGGCTGCAGGAACACAACCTGCTGGGAGTGATCACATTCCCACTCCAGGCTGCAGAGGCCCCCCGGGAACACAAACAAGGCTCAGTCCCAGGAATGCAGAAGTGGGGGATGGGAGGGAACTGGGCTGTGGATAATAAGGCCTTATCTGTGCCCTCCCCCAGTCTGCAGAAATGTGCTTCCTGCTTTACATACAAAGTAGCCAATGGATGCAATCCTAACAGAAAACCTAACCCAGTAAGTGCAGCCTGCAGGAGAAGGTGGGAGAAGTGGGCCCCCTGGGGTGGTGGGAGGCCCAGCCCACCAAGGCGGTCAGGCTTACCAAGGACAATCATTCTGAAGCCGATGGCTTTAGAGAGCCCTGTGGGGTGACTCAGGGGATATGCTCAGAGATTTGAGGCTTGGGTCTTCCCTTACCTGGGTTCCTTCCCTTACCTGGGTTCCGTTGTCTTGAACCCAGGACAGTTTATAGGGTCCCAGGGGGCTTTCGAAAGGACCCTCAGGGATCACTTCTTCCCACTCCAGGATGAGGCCCGAGTCTGTGCGGATGGCATGGAGGTTCTGGGGAGCACTGGCTGGGGCTGTGCCCAAAGAGAGAAGGTTGCTGAGAGCCCTGCCCTTCCCACCATCACTATCCGACGCAGGCCTTTGGAGCCCACTCCCAAGAGCTAAACAGCTTAGAGAGCAACAGGTAGGGGGGAAGTTTGCCTCCAGGCCTGACTGCTCTCACCCCTGTCACGCCCTTAGCAATGGCAGCGCCCCTGCGAGGCAGAGTGTTCTCTCAATCGCCTTGGTGACTGCCTCAGCCACAACCTTCGCTACTCTCCCGCCAACCTCCTTGCAATTGCTAGAGAACTCCAAACAACTTCCCGCCCTGAGGTCTTCGCACTGGCTCCGCCCTCTTTCTGCAGTGACTTCCCCCCCAAAACGTGGCTCCTTCCTTATCAATCGGATCTCGGATCTCTTTATGGAGGTATTCCTGAACCACCCTGAGGCACTTTTTATCCGATTTTATCTACTTTTCTCATCTGTTCCACTTGCCAGACTAGAGCTGCAGGGGAGAGGGGTAGGATTTATCTAGCTCATAAGTAGGCTGTAGGTAATCAGTAAGTGTTTGCCAAATGATGCGTGAAGCTCCCTCTCCAGTGGTTCCTCTCCCAGTTAACTAACTCAGAACTGGAACCCAGATGGCCCCTCCCCCGCTCCAGCCCTGTGGCCACTCTGCTGAGAGCCCCTTACCCAGACCCTTTGTCTGAAAGGGCACCCAGTCAGCATACGGAGAAGGCCCCAAGGCATTGGCACAGCGCACCCTGAGGCTGTAGTTTGTGGCAGGTGCCAGGTCCCGGAGAAGGCAGGTAAAAGGTGGTACAGGGACCACGACAGCCAGGACTTCCCAACCTCCTGGGGCCTGCGTCACCTACAGAGAATCAGAAAACTAATGTTGAGGGAGATGGAAGATGGGATAGATGTGGGGTGGTTGAGCTAATGTCAATCAGCAAACACTTGCAACCTACCCCTTCCCACAGACCCTCCCCTCTAATAACACACCAGGTGCCATACCTCCGTGCCTTTGCGAATGCTGTTCCCTTTGCTTAGAATGACCTGCTCTTCCTAGTAAAGTCCAACAACTCGTCCTTTAATTCTCAACACAAATACCACTTTCTCTGGGAAAGCCTTTCTCAGCTACTCCAGAAAATTATGCCCCTTTATGCTTGGTGTGCAACTTGGTTATAGTCGTTGCCACTTATTTCCACTGTTTGTATGCCAGCGATCGCAAAGTCTCCTCAGAGCTTCTCAAGGGCAGAGAACTGGGAGCCTAGGGGCACTGTGAACCGGGCCTTCACCTCCCATTTTGGGAGCCCAGGGCAACAGTACAGATGGAGATCCATGTACCATATAGTTAAATATTTAAATGTTATAAATCAACTAACAAAACTGTTAAATAAAATACTAAAATATTTTCTATCTTAATGTATTGACAGAAAAAGCTTCAAAACCTGGAGCTTTTGAAGCTCCAGGAGGGTCAGGTTCTCATTGATAATTCTCCAACTCCTTGGACCCCCAAGCCAGAATGTGGTGGCACAGGGACATTGTGTGCACAGGTGTGGAATACTGCCTGCATACCCGTCCCCCCCCCACAAATGGCTGCTGTACCCTCCCAAGGATGGATCAGGGAAGAGGCCCACCAGGCCCAGCAGCCACAAGACGAGAAACGCAAGTATCCAGAGTAGGGTGGGGCGTGGCGGTTGCAGGAGGGAGGGGCTGTCCTCCTGATCCGGATGGGCGTGCCCGCTTGCCCTGGGACGAGGGGTGTGGGGGTGCAGCCAAAGGAGGCCCACAGTGGAGTCCTCTAAATGGTAGAGGGCACAGCAAGGGCCTTTCTTGCCTGGGGCAACTGCCTAGAACAGTTTCGAAGGTGCTCATTAAATATCTTTTGAGTAAACATCTGAAAATAAGTAAGTCTGTGTAGCCTCTTGTTTTTAGTGTCAGCTTATCCAGGTTTTTCACTCCCTGGGGCCTAGAACTCCTAGTCCCCTGGTTCCCTTTGGCATGAGTAAGGGGGCGAGGCGTGAGAGTGCAGGTGTCAGATAAAGCAAAGGTTTAGGGTTTCATCAACTTAAGAAAAACCCTTCCAGACATCTCAAGTCTGCTCTACTGATTTGCTTTCCAGCCTGAAGAATGCATGGGTTTCGGCCAATATGCAGTTACTTGGTTACTAGAGAACCCTATGATAAGAGGCAGTAGCCTGGACTGTTCCTGGTAAGGGAACAACACCTGAATAGAGCTGGAGACCAAGCCCCATGGGCAAGTCTAGTGTTATCTAATGTGATTCCACTGTCCACAAAGTGCCACTAAAGCAGTCAGCGTGAACAAGGCCAGGAGAGACTGTCCCACCCTCTGTTTACCTGGACTGTACAGGATTGGAGCACGGCTCGGCCATCGGCACCAGGTGTCCAGGCCACGCTAGCATTGCTGCTGGAGAGCTTTGTCACCGTGATATTGAAGGGAGCTGCAGGCAGTGCTGTGGATGGGAACTCAGAGTCAGTGGTCTGGAGTGCAGTGCCCAGGAAGATATGAGAGATATCCTTATGCTTTCTTTAATCAGGAGGCATAAGAGTCAAGACTTAAGTCCCTCTCTAGGGTCCGCCCCCCCTTACACTGAAGTTGACCTCAGCACTCCCAGGACCACAGTAATATACAAGCAAAACAACAAGTAGGAGGCAGATACCCAGCAGAGTGCCTCCGTTGGAGAGAGGTTGCCTCTCCCTGAATCAAGAGCCTGGTCTGACCAAGGAAAAGGATATGATAGTGGGTGTGTGTGGGGGCAGTACCTCGGCCTTGGGAGAGAAGTCTGTGCAGCCACAGCCCATTCCTCCACAAGCCAGCATCGCCTCCCTCCTTGCCTCCCTCCGTGCACACGCAGCCCTCTGGGTCTCCTCTAGCATCCTGCCAGGCTGTTTTTCCCTCTCCCATTCCCTCCACAGGGGCTGGCAGAAGCAAGGTTGGGCATGAGCCTTGACCATTTCCCGCTGGCTCGCTCTTTCCCTTCCTTCCTCCCTCCCTCCCTCCCAAGGGCTCTGCTTCATGATGGGAAATCTGCTGTGACGTCAGGTTTCTATTTTCATCTCTGCCTCAGCAGGGTCTCAGGTGCTCCCACTAGGAATGGAGCTGTGCCAATTAACCCTTCATCCTCCAGATCCCAGCAGGACTGAGAAGAGCTGGACCACCAAATGATTCTGCCTTCACCCACTGCTGGACAGCTTGCCAAGAATGCTCCTGCCTCACCTACCCCCTCTCCCCACCAACTCTCCTACCTTGAAGATGTACAGTAGCTGGGCGTGAAGAGGCCAGGCCTTTCAGGTTGTGAGCTTCACAGGAAAACACAGTGCTCTTGGTCACCCCTGGGGCCAGAAAACTTCAGTCAGCCCCGACCCCCACCCCCAAGGAGAAACTCCCACTCCATTTGGGATTGGGGAAGGTGGATACTTAGGCTCCAGATCTTATTATCCTAGAAGTCCCTCCAGCCAAAGGGGCTACACAGCCAGGTGCGGGTGAACGAACAGGGAGTCGAACGGGCCTAGGCGTAAGTCCAAAGGCTGGGGCTCTGTCTCATTTCCCAAATGGGAGAATTGTTGAAAACCAAATATGAAAAGTTCATGGCACACAGTAAGCCCTTGAGAAATGCTATGCCACCCCTCCCACTTCAATCCCATCTCCCAAAGACAGCACAAAACTGCCTCCCTTTTCTGGTCACTCCTTTATTACACATTCCAGAGCCCTTCTCTGTTTGCTGTGTGCCATATCCTTGCTGTATCTGCAGATTCTTCGGCTTGCAATAGCTCTTGGCTCCTTATGCATGTGTCTTGCCTCTAATTCCTTGGGGGCTGGACAGATGGCTTCTATTTCTTTTGTATTCCTTCCATCCCCCATGGTGCCTAGCACAGTGTGAGGGGTGGAGTAGGAGTTCAGTGAGTGCTTATTACCAGGCTGGCTGCCGGAGGGTCCCAACCACGCACATCTGGAGAGTACAAAACCCAACCGCCCTTCTAATCTGCTCCAAGCCAGTACCTCCTAAACAGTACCTGACCTTATTCCCAACAGGTCCTGAAATCCACCTCTTCTCGAGATTCATATTGCCAGGGGACCTGGCAGATCAGAGCCCGTCCCCTCCCTCCTGCCAGTCCATGAGACCAACGTCAGACAACAATCTTTTTTGGCCAGTTCAAGCCTCCACCAGAAACATTAACTTTGTTTCACAGATAAGTGAGCCTCACAACCATGTGAGGTACGTGCCCAAGGATCTTGGGGTCCAGTTAGGAGTGCAGGTACAGCTGCTTTTGGTCTAACTGTGAGGAAGTATGCACAGACAGTTGTTTAGGAAAGCAATACAAGGGCTGTTAGGAAAGGAGGTCTTTTATTTTTGTGTGTCCTCCCCTCCCCGTTTTCCTTCCCTCTGTTTCAGCCTGAGACTCTTGTCTTCTAGGCAAGTCTGCCAGACACTCCTCCTAGATCTGCGTGGGCTGGTTCCTGGCTCCTTCCCTTGGGAGGAGCGGGGGTGGAGGAGGAATGGGTGCCCCTGATCCTATCCAATTCACCTCCCAGGGCCAGCTGTACACAGTCTGCACTATCATGAACCAGGGAAAGAGGCCCCAGCATCCTCCTTAAGCACACACAGCAGGGTCACCACTAATCTGCCCACCCAGCCAGCCTAGCACACCCGATTAATGAGCTTAGCAATGGTGCAGCTCACATACCCAGGCATCAGGGCTTGCTCTGGACACTCAACAGCAAACAGTGATTTAAGCAGATTTGAACTCCGCCAGCCTCACCACCCCTGCTCAAGGCCCCTCCTAAGCTTGCTCACCTGTTACATTTAAAACAGAAGGAGAGGGAGCAGGTCCCCCAACCTTCATGTGTTCTCTCCACCAGATAATGGTAACAGGTTCAGGGGGACCCACAGCCTCACAAGACAGCTGGAAAGGGGCATTGGGTGGTACTGCAAGATCTTTTGGCTGCACGGTGAAAAACGGCACACCTAGGGAGAAAAGGGGCATGGGGGGTGAGCCTTGCCACCTCTTGGCTTCCAACTGCCCAAACCCCAAGTCTGCTACCATTTGAAGCTCTTTCTGCATAAGGTCCCACAGGTCCTTATGATTGGGTCAACTATAGAACACGCACCTAGCTTGACAGAAGAGCTCTTCTTTGCCCCCCTTAGGAATATCTTTTATGCTGTCCCCTTGAGTGAGGCAGATTCTCCCTTCCTAGACCTGCTCTGACAGCCCTTCTCTGGCAGTGGGTAGGGAGCTGGGGGAAGGGCAGAAAGGCAGATGCGGGCGGGAGCCTGAGCGGAGTTCTGCTGGCAGGACCCAGATCCAGTTGAGAGCCCTTTGTTACTTTCTCAGTCACTTTGTTTTCCTGGGCTGAACAGCTCTGAGCTCTCGCAGCTGCAGAGCCTTTCTCTCCTCCCCCATTTCTACCCCTCCTGGCCTGGCCACTTGGCAGAACAGGGTCCAGCCCAGATGGGTGCTTGAGGCTTCCTGTTCAGACAAGTGAAAATGACTTGCATCCCACAGGTTGTGGGTTCTAGTTGCACCCTGGGTTCTAAAATACCCAGACTGCAGTAGGTATGGTCTTCCGATGATGGGGTGGGCCTGGAGCCTGGAATAATCAGGCTCCAGAGGACAGTGAGGTAGCTTTCTTCCACTACACTTTCTCCTCCCGAGGCGTAGTCACCAGCAGACAGCCAACATGCCCATGCGCCTCCTCACCTTCTACTGTGAGCCACATTGGCGGGGAAGTCTTGGTTTCATCCCCATCCTCCACCTGGCACCAGTACTGGCCTGCATCAGAACGCTCCGCTGACTTCAGGCTGTGGAAACAGGATACCAGGCTCACCTCCCACGGTCATGGGGGGCAGCTCTGCTGGGCAGACTCAATGGGTTCAGCCTGTCCCGACTTCTGGAAGTTTCCACAGGTTGCCAAATAAAGAAACCACAGACCTCCGGGCATCAGCATTGCCCCCAGCTCCCAACGTCCCCAGGCTGGCATCCCACACCGTCCCCCACAGTCCTGCACCTGAGGAAGCCGATCCAGTGCTGCTCGCTGACTGAGATGTACACCTGATCCAGGCCCTGGACCACAGCCCCGTCCTTCATCCACTGTATGTCAGGATCCTCCATCCCCTCCATACTGCAGTTGAGACTCACCGGCTGCCCCTGAGACACTGTCAGCTTCGCCGGGGCTCCCATGAACTTCAGGCCTGTGAGGTGGGAAGGAGAATGTGTCAGCCAGCTTGAGAGGTTCCCTGTCTCTGGAAATATCCCCTGTCCTCTTCCAGAATCTAGCTTCTATGTCAGAGGGCTCATTCCCAGCCAATGGCCAAGGAAGCAGAGGCAGGACAATGTGGAAGGGCTGTGGGAAGGGGCATGACAGGCTCTCCAGGCACCATGTCTGTCACTGCCAAGTACCCCCCAGTACTGAGACCTCTTCCCCATACCTCCCTGCTGGGCAATGTTAAGTTCAGGCCCAAAAACCAAAAAGAAGGCAAGCCAGGCTGAAAGAGTGGGGCAATCCTATACATCTGGGGCAGGTACTGCCCTGGGAATGACTGCAGTACCCAGCCAGTGCAACAGGCAGCCAGTTCTCCACCCAAGGCGTCAAGCCAGACCTGCACTACTGCTGGCAATCCCTGGCACCCCACCCAGGCAAAGGAAAGGAGGCTGAGGAAGGGAAGGAGGGGGTGCTCCCCTGAAGTGGAGAACATATGGCTGCAAAACCACGTCAGATAAAACACATGGCAGCCTTCCTGGCAGCCGCCTGCTCTATTAATACCTGAATGTGTGCAGTGGTGGGTGCTAGGAAGACAGGAGGTAGAAGGGGGGGAGGGGCCCTGAACGGGAAGCCCAAGACCCCTGAGCTACTGTCACACCACCAGAAGCCACCCTCTGAACAGTACCCTCTACACAGGCGCACACATATGCACACACCCCTCCTCGTCTTCTTTGAACAATCCACGTATCTGAAATCCAGTTCTGCTTCTTCCTACCCTTTCCTGTGTGACTCTATAAATAAATCCTGGACTCTCTGACCCTGAGACATACACCTTTCAGATTGTAAATACTTTTCACTGTCTCCTTTCCCTTCCCTGAGAGGCTTATATGGCAGGGAGTCCTGTCTCAAGAGAAGGTGCCAGCTCAGTGCCTGCTACTTGGGCCTGTGTTTCTTCCTTACTCCCTTCATCTGGTCAGGATCAGTCACAGGGCAAGGAGGGAGAGGCTCACCCCCACACACCCAGCAGTCTCCAGGGCGTGGAGAGTAAACTTGAGGATCCAGGGTGCTGCAAGGAGCGCTGCTGTGACTGGCAAATGCCCCCGTGGCTATGTGGGAACACAAGGCTAACCCCCACAAAGACTGGCAACCTCACCCACCCTCTCCAACACGCCAGGCTTCACGAAGATGAGTGGGCACAGGAACTAGAGTCTGTTCAGACGTTTTCTGTGAGCCGGCACCCTCACAGCCCCTGTGCCTAAATGGTGCCTCTTGGGTACTCGGCCCCAGCCCCAGTGGTTTCAGAAAGAGACCTTGGTGCGTGGGGTGGGCAGAATGGGGGTCCCCAGGACTGGATGAGGAGAGCAAACAACTAGGAACATAGAGGTGGGAAAATTCGGTCCCAAACACCCCCGCTGACCATTCAGCACACTGCCCCACTCCTCTCCTTTCCACCCCGCCAAAAGAGCCCTAGACGAAAGAAAGTTGGGGGTGGGGGCCCCGAGATCCGACCGCGAACACACCGCTACTACCCCTCCCCCAGTACCCAAGCCTCGGCCTTCCAGCTTTGGCCCCCCCACCCAAATCTCCGGCCCGCCGAGGCCCGGGGCTCGCTGGGCTGCGGTGCCCGGCTCCGACACGGCCGCGCCCCTCCGCAGCCCCTGCTTCGCGTTGCCTCCCGGGCCAGCTCCTACCTTCGGCCACGGGCTCCGGGAGCAGCAGAGTGGCCAGACCCGCCAGCAGCAGCAGCGGCGGCGGCGGTGGCCGCGGGAGCGGCGGGAGCCCCGACCTCCCCATGCTCCGCCTCAGCGCCATCGGCGGCGACGCCGCACCATGCCGGGCCCGACCAGCGAGTGACCAGGGAGGAGGGAGAGGTAAAGGAGGAGGGAGAGAGGAGGGCTGAGGGAGGGAGGGGCGGGGGCCGGGCGGGGGTGGTGCTGGGGCCCGCGCCTCCGACTCCCGGGCCCACAGAGACTCTCAGCGGCCCCCGTCAGCGGCGCGGGGTCCCCGGGGCCGCTCCTGGGCCACCGCGCTTCTTCCACAGCCGTCGTCGCCGCCGCTGATTCATGTTCTCTGAGCCGCCGCCTCCTCCCTAGTCCTCCCGCCCGCAGCGAGAGCTCGTACCGCTCCCCCCGGCCCCCCCGCCGCCGCGCGGGGCCCCGGGCGGCTTGCTCGGAAGCCAAACTGGCGGGTGCCAGCCTAATCTCTGGCCTCCGGCCGATCCCCACCCGGGCCAGCACCCCCTGCCCCAGCTACCCCAATGCCCAACCCTAATCTGAGTGGGTCCCCTGGATGGGCACCTCAACCACGCCCCTCCTCTCCCACATACACTCCAGAACCTTTTCAAACCCAACACTCCAGATCCCTCCCTCAAAACCTCTCTAGAACCCTTTACTATACCCTAACTTTTGTCCAGATTCTGATCCTGAAAACCCAGCATCTGCTCCTTGGGATATAAAGCATCTCAGTGTCCCAGACACTCACAACCATCAGGACCCTCGAAACTGTGACTCAGGGCTCCCCCCACAGGATTCACTAGCACCCCTTCATGCCTCTTCCATGAGACTTTCACCCAGATTCCCCAACTCGTGCTCCACTTCCCACCCCTTTATCTCCAAGACCTTGGGCCTTGAGTCTTGAGTTTTCCAAGCTCGTGTTAATCCTCAGGTTTTATTTGCTAGGCCAAAGTCCAGTGATCCACATCTTTGGGGGTTGTCGTTCTTCCTAGTTGCTTTCTCAGCTTCTACCCCCGACTCTCCAGGACATGATATGAAAGTTGGCTCTATTACTTCAGTATCTAATAAAACATTAGTTATTAGAGGAGCACCTTGCATACCGTAAGCACTCCATAAATAAATAGGCAGATGCCTGTTAAATAACTTCCTCAGAGCTTGGCCTGTCCCACAACCAGTAATCACTGGGGTGGCTGCTCCCACGGACATCCTGTCAGGCAGATGCAGAGCTGCTTCTAAATCCAGGTGTCCCCTCCTCTTGCCCTAGCTTCTATCTACCTGGGCCCTGGAGCTTACTCCAGAGGACCCTTCCCAGAATTCTTGAGTGGGGAGGAGGGACAAGCCACTCCGTCCCGTTTCCCCACAGCCTCATTGGATCTTTCCAGGATTCGCCTTCAGAGCAGCAGGAGCCTGACTCTTTCTCCACTTGGCCCCATCACTGCTTGTTTATTAATTACACTAATGATAACAGCAACAGCAGTTCTGGAGGCAGCCTCAGACCCAGCTGGGGGCGCCCCCAGGCGGCAGCCCAAGGAGAGACTGCGGAAGCGAAAGCGCCGTCAGATGGCAGGGGCCCAGTCTTCGGATTTGTGAAGCAGTAGACCAATTCTCTTGGGCACTGTGGGTTGTCTCCAGGACCATTTCCCAAAGAAAAAAAGACTTGCTCCTTTCCAGGATCCACAGATTCTGAATTTGGGCTGAGTCGGATCAGATCAAGCAGACAACAGTCTAGAGCTGAAACCAGACTTGCAAGGGCTCTACTGTGGCAATGTGGCTGCTGCAGCCCTGCATTTGATTGAGCAGTTGTCACTTCTCAAGGCTCTCTCCCCAACCTGCCCTCTCTAGAGGGGACTTCCAGTTTACAGCGGAAGGAAGCATCCTCCTACCACAATGGAAAGACCCCTCCTAGAGAATGTTAAATCCAAGGCCCAAACCCAGCCTTCCACTTCCTTTACTTTCCCCATTCCTCCAGAGTAATTTCCTGAACTCTGACAAGGAATTTCAGCCCAAGAACATCCTTTGCCATCTGTCGAAATATGCTTCTCAGACATGTCATGAATACCACTGTACTCTCTACTCAGAACCTCCAAACCTCCTGCCTCAGCTGCAGACCTGAGACACATCACTACCACAGCACACTATCCATATGGGTCCTGAAGCCCTGAGTTCCTGCTTCCTCTACCCTTGTTTCTGAATCCTCAGTTCTTAGTATTTGTACTTGCAGGGCACTTCCCTTCCTGAGCTCTCAGGACCCATTCTTCCTACCTATCTCCTCTCTCTCTCCATGGTATAGAAACATACTTTGAAGAGTATACAAGCAGGTGTGATTTTGTGGGAGAGTTGTGTGGGTGGGTGAGAGGATGTGCATTGTGATATATGAGGGAGGGTGTGCATTTGTGCAAACTCTAAATGTGACTGACGCTTTGTGGGTGGATGGGGAGAAAATGTGTGTGTGTGTGTGCGTGCACATGTGAGTGCGCCTGGAGGAGGTTGGCTGCTTATGCAAATACATGCCTGCAAAAATCTCTCTTCCTCCTATAAATGCATTGCTTGGAAGGGGACTAATCAAATCAACAGGAAATGTATTTGACCTAATGCAGAATCAGCAGTCCCAGGAACTCCTGTGCTCGGAACAAAACAGGAACCAGCTATGATCTATCCCTGATGAGTAAAAAGGGGCTGCAGGAGAGAGAAAAGGCCACCAGCAGTCCTTTATGGATGCTAGTTTGAGCCCTGGCATTTTGCTACACAGGTGAGTCTGCATCTTCCCACTCTCTGCCTAGTATGACCCAGGACTGCCCAAAGATGGCAACAATCCAGAGAAAACAAAGACAAACCTGGAAATAAAAACCATCTGCCCACATGAAGCAGCTACTTCACCATTTTCAGAGTTTGGACCTCCTCTTTCTGTCCTCTTCCCCTCAACCTGGGGTTGGGGGGAGGGAGACCAAGAAGGAACCAAGGTGAAACATGGAGTCCTGGCAGTCTCCCCAGCCCTGTGACCAAGACCCTATTTCTTACCAACCACTAGTTAAAGAGGAGAGGGTTAGGAAGTGTCACTTAAGGAATGAGGCAGGGCACAGACTGTTCCTCAGTCACCTTAGAGCAGGCAGGGAATCTATGCCTGTGCGGCTTGGAGAAGAACTACCCACAGGTACAATTCCAGGGGAACTGAGGACTGTTGCTGTGCCAACCGAACACCTGTTGCCTGAAATTCCTAAGCCAAAAACAATGCCACTCCATGTCCAGCCAAAGATGAAGCAAAAAGCTAAATGCCTAGGAGAAATTACACTTTGATTTATAGTCACAAGAAACTTTCAAATGATCATATTTTCCCCAGCAGGAGATTTAGGAAATAGAAAGAGAGCAATAAGTTTGGGTTTTCTGTACAGGCAGATGAATCCAAAAATGAGGAAGAAAAAAATGTATCCTCTTCAAAATTTCACTTAGGGATGGCAGTTTCACTTAGGATGAGTTTCATGTGTGAGTGTGAGTGTGTGTGTGTCTGAATGCACTGTATCTGGCTGTCTATAAAGACTTGACTATCTTTAAATGAAGCCTGGCAATTGAGGTTTTTCTGGATCCTTTTTTTTTTTTTTTTTTTTTTTTTTTTAGAGGGAGAGAAACATCAGCATGTGAGAGATACAGAGATTGGTTGTCTCTCGAACATCCTCATCTGGGGACCTGGCTTGCAACCCAGGCATTTGCCCTGACTGGGAATCAAACTGGCGACCTTTCTGTTTGCAGGCTGGTGCTCAATCCACTGAGCCACACCAGCAAGGTCTGGATCTATTATTATATTAAAATTTTTATTATGGAATGTTTTAAACATACACACAAATAGAATAGTATAATGATGAATCCTCAATATACCCATCACTCTGCTTCTATGATTGTGTTAGCCAACTGTCCTATTTTTTTGTTGTTTTGCTGGAGTTTTTATTTTATTTTTTTAAAAGATTTTATTTATTTACTTTTAGAGACAGGGGAATGGAGGGAGAAAGAGGGAGAGAGAAACATCAGTGTGTGAGAGATATACTGATTGGTTGCCTCTCACTCTAGCAGGTTCCCCAACTGGGAACCTGGCCGGAACCGAACCAGCAACCTTTCGGTTCACAGGCTGGTGCCCCCAATCCACTGAGCCACACCAGCCAGAGCTGAAGTTTCTATTTTAAAAAAGACTTTATTTATTTATTTATTTTTAAAGAGAGGGGAAGGGAACGAGAAAGAGAGGGAGAGAAACATTGATGTGAAAGAGAAGTATCGATCGGTTGCTTCTCGTATGTACCGCAGCCGGGGACCTGGCCTCACACCCAGGCATGTGCTCTGACTGGGAATCGAGCCAGTGACCTTTTGGTTTGCTGGACAATGCCCAACCCACTAAGCCACATCAGTCAGGGCTTTTGCTGGAGTTTTAAAAAGCAAACCTTAGCTGTATAATTATTTCCAGCTGTAAATATTATACTACATATCTGTAATAGACTTTAAAAAAACTCACCCATGTATAGATTTAAGTGGTTATATAAAAAATATTTATAGATATTGCATATATATAACAGAATACACATGAATTTCCTTTGTCAGCTGAGAAGGGCAAAAAGTAAGATGCCCCTGTAGCAATGTGCAAAGCTAGCACTCAAATCTTGCCTTCTAATACCATTTTCTAGCAAAAGGAACCAAGAATCCTTGGAAAAACTGATGATTCCAGGATTGGGGCAGGAAATATACAAGATGAGCCTGGAGTATCTTATAGTCCCAGAAAGTAAGAAAGTACCCCAAAACAGAAACAAAAACCCAAACACACAATGAAGGCATATGTCAAAGGATCAGATATCAATATATATTGGAATAAAAAATGGGGAGCGTAGATAAATCTCTCATGCAGAATTATAAATAATTTATGTGGATACTTCATTCTCAAGGAGGTGGAGCATAACTCCACACTCAAGTGTGGGCTGCACATAGTGACTGCTTTCCAAAAAGGACAGGATGGAACACTGTGGGGTAAAAGTAACTTTTGAGTGGGAGATCTGACAAACATTACCTCTGCCAGATGATTAAGGTTAACAAAAACAGTGGTAAGTCATGTTGATAGTAGCTACCCTTGTAAAATGGCATTTTAGCTCTGTGGTCTTCCTCCCAAAAATCCTTAAGCCCACTTTTGCCCTGGCTGGTGTGGCTCAGTGGACTGAGCGTTGGCCTGCGAACCTAAAGGTCGCTGGTTCAAATCCTGGTCAAGGTACATGCCTGGGTTGTGGGCCAGGTCCCCAGTTGAGGGTGTGGAGATGGCAACCAGTTGATGTTTCTCCCCCTCTCTCTCCCCCTCCCTCTCCTCTGTCTAAAAATAAATAAATACAATCTTTAAAAAAAAAAAGAACACCCATAAGTCCAATCTAATAATGAGAAAAACATCAGAAAAACCCCAAGTAAGGGACATTCTAAAAATACTCTACCAGTTCTACTTTAAAATGTCCAAGTCATCAAAAGCCAAAGTCCACAAAACTGTCACAGCTGAGAGGAGCCTAAGGAGACATGACAACTGAATCTAATGTAGTTGGTGGAACAGAAAAAGGACATTAGAGAAAAGTTGAGGATATCAGAATAAAGGTTTTACTTAGTAATAATGTGTCAAATACTGACTCATTAATTCTGAAAAAAAGTACCATATTAATATTAGACATTAATAATAAGGGAAATTATGTTTGGAATAAATGGAAACTATATTTGCAATTTTTCTGTAAATCTAAAACTATTCTAAAGTAATTTAAAAAAACACATCCATACCTGATAAATTTTTAAAATATCCTTAATATCATATTATGCTCAGTTTGTATTTAGTTTTTCCCAACAGTCTCAAAAAATGTCTTTTTACAGTAGGTTTGCTTGAATCAGGATACAAATAAGGACCACATATTTAATAGATAATCTCTTTCTCATTTGGATATGAAATGTATAGAAGAAATTTGAATAATTTCCTACAATCTGACCCTGACTGGCGTGGCTCAGTGGATTGAACACCGGCCTGAGAACTGAAAGATTGTCATTTTGATTCCAGGTCAGGACACAAGCCTGGGCCAGATCCCCAACTAGAGGCGAGTGAGAGGCAAGTAATGGAGAGAGGCAAGCTCCCTCTCTCCCTCCCTTCTCCTCTCTCTAAAAATAAAATAAATAAAATCTTAAAAAAAAAAAAAAAAAAAGCCCTGGCTGGTGTGTCTCAGTGGATTGAGCACTGGCCTGGGAACCAAAGGTTCACTGGTTAGATTCCCAGCCCAGGGCACATGCCTGGGTTGCAGGCCAGGTCCCCAGTAGGGGGCACGCGGGAGAGGCAATCACACATTGACGTTTCTCTCCGTCTGTTCCCCACTCTAAAAATAAACAAAACCTTTTTAAAAATTTAAAAAAAAAAAAAAAAAAAAAGAACTTCCTACAATCTGGATTTGGTTAATTGTTTCCTTGTGCTATCATTTAACATGTTCCTCTCCTGCCCATATTTCCTGAAGATTCGTAGTCAGATCTAGACTCTTGGCTAGATTCAATTTTTTGGCATAAAGTCTTCTGAAGTGTTTTGTACTTCCAACTGTATCACATCATGAGGCACATTATGTCCAGTAGTCCCATTTTTAGTGATGTTAAGATTCATCAATAATGAGCTGGTAACCTGATCCATCCATATAAAATCCTAATCAACCTGCCAGGGCTGGTGTGGCTCAGTGGATTAAGCACCCATGTGCAAACCAAAGGGTCACCAGTTTGATTCCTAGTCCAGGGCACATGCCTCAGTTGCAGGCCAGGTCCCCAATAGGGGGGGGTATGTAAGAGCCAACCACACATTGGTGTTTCTCTCCCTCCCTTTCCATCTCTAAAAATAAATTAAAATCTTTTTAAAAATGTATAAAATCCTAATCAACCTTTCTCCTAATAGTTTTATCAGTCGTTAATGATCATTGCCTGGAGTGATTATATCATTAGTGGTTCAAACAATGATTTTCTACTTTCTGTATTTTTAGCTCCAGTTCCTCTCCCTCATTTCTAGTAACTTCTGACCAGGTCCAGTACTATTTTGGGCTCCAATGTTGGACTCTACTCAATCCTAATAGCTGAAATTTACTGCTGCAGTTGAGATCAAGAGAACTAGAGGAGGGTATTGCCCTGGCTGGTGTGGCTCCGTGGATTGAGTGCTGGCCTGCGAACCATAGGGTCACTGGTTCGATTCCCAATCAGAGCACACGCCTTGGTTGCAGGCCAGGTCCCCAGTAGGGGGCGTATGTGAGGCAGCCATACATCGATGTTTCTCTCCCTCTTTCTCCCTCCCTTCCCCTCTCTAAAAATAAGTAAAACAAATTTTTTTTAAAAAAAGGGTACTAAAACTTGTTGGAATGCAAATTCTCATGTCCTCTTCCAGACCTACTGAATCAGAAACTCTGAGGATGAGGCACATCAATCTGTTTTTTGTGTTTGCTTTTGTTTTTTATCCTCATCTGAGGGCATGGTTATTGGTTTTAGAGAGAGGGTAAGGTAGGGAGAGAAGGAGGGCGGGACAGAGGGAGAGAAACATGGATGTGAGAGGGAAACATTCTCCTACATGCCTGATGAGGAACCACAACCCAAGCACTTGCCCCGGCCAGAATCAAAACTGCGACCCCCTGGGGCCCACTGAATGACGCTCTAACCAACTGAACCATACCAGCAAAGGCCATCAAACTGTTTTAACAAACCCTCCAGGTGATTGGTGCCTGCTCAAGTTTGAGAACCACTGGACTAATTATTGACTTCCCTAAGACGGCAATGATTTACGAAGGTCCTATGTGCACAGCAACATGGTGGGTGCTGAGCATTACGGATGCAAAAAAGGCGGCCTGATGCCCACAAGGAACTCACAGTCTATTGAAGAGAACAAGGCATATGCTGGTGAAAAGGAAACTAGTGATAATTCCCAAGATGCCACACGAGGTTCCAAGGGAAGGTCAGTGCGCAGTCAGGTTGGCCAAGGTTTTACAGTTGACTCCAGCTAGGCCTTAACAGAAAGACTTTGGGAGTAGAGGGAAAGCGAAAATTTCCAACACTGGACACTGGCTAACAAAGGCAGAATGCTCACGGAGGGGATCGCCTTGCGGGCTGCTTTCTTCTCTCTTCTCACCTCCACCATTCCTGCAGCTTGGGTTATGCGCGGCCGAGGACCCCTTTGCCTCTGTCGCGGATGTACTATGTGGAGAGAGACCTGCGATTACCGTACACCGAAGAACGTGTTCTGTCAGCATACAACTCAGGTCGTGGGTAAACTGCAAGCAGAGTACTTTCGCGCTCAACTGCTCCGTAAACCCGATCCGGCAAACCCCAGAGCCGGCGGAGCCCGGCCCTGAAAGGCGGGCCCGACTGCGGGGCGGAAGCTCAAATCTGGAGGCGGCGGAAGCGAGGCCGGTGCGGGGCAAGATGGCGGCTCCCAGGCAGTGCAAGAGTCAGTAGGTGGCTAGTCTGGAGAGACGGAGTTCAGGGGATCTCAGCGGAGGGCTCTGCTGCTGAGTGTTCAGTTCCTTTGTCAGAGCCTGCCGGAGTGTGTTTGGACTGTACAGGAGCGGCCGAAGCCACTTCGGTGCGGAGATCCCGGTTACGGCTCTCCCTCCATCCGCTGGCAGCAGAGGCTGAAACTCGGTGATTTCTCTTTGCCTACGGGGGTGGTCCAAGGGCACGCGGGACCGTAGATCCCTACGGGGAGTTGTGGGGCCCACAGTGTACAAGACTTCTACTTCCTTGGTGAAATTTATTCATAAGTATTTTACTCTTTTTGATGCTATTGTAAATGGAATTGTTCTTAAGTTCACTTTCTGATCGTTCTTTGCTAGTGTATAAAACTACAAGTGATTTTTATATATTGAACCTTTACAGCCCGAGGTGGTTTACTAATTCAGTACTTTTAGGCCAGGCATGTTCTTTACAGTTTGATACAGAATCTCCATTCCCTGATATGACACATTTATCAGCCTGGCTCCCGGTGACATTTTTCTTTTGTGCCCCTAAAGTTGCTGCTGAGACTTTTTATTATCCACAACCTAAGTTGGCAATAAATATTGTAGCTAGGCTGATGACTTCCGGGAGGGCTAAATAGGAAGGGAATGGCAATAAGGTATGAATAAGGAGAAATGAGTTAGCAAGGAAAAAGAGGCTTCTTTGATGCACAAGAAAGATAACCAGGGTTCATTTAAAGAAGGCCCATTTTTATTGCTTTTAGGGGTGAATGAGAGCGAGTCCCCACAACGAAGCAGTGGTGGAAAGAATTGCACAGAGAAGGCACCTGTAGTGTCAAGATGCTGTCAAGACCAAAGCCAGGGGAGTCTGAGGTGGACCTGCTGCGATTCCAGAGTCAGTTTCTCGCAGCTGGTGCAGCCCCAGCAGTACAATTGGTGAAGAAAGGAAGTAGGAGAGGCGCCAGTGCTAACCTGGACCAGCCTCTGCTGCAGGATCATCGGGATACAGTGATGCTGGACAGTGAGTGGCTCTGGGTGTGAGGCTGAGAAGGAGAGGGTACAGCCTAAGGGTCTCCTTCCTCTTCCTATTGTGGATGGATTCTACCCATTATTATTTCATACGCTGCATAGCTGCTATTGCTGCGATCCCATTTTATATAGAAAGAAACCGAGGCTCAAAGAGGTTAAAATCTTGGGCAAGGTGACACAGCTTGAGCCAGGGCTTCCCAGTAGTTGACTTACTTTCTTTGGCTTTCCCCTAGCCCTCAGACTCTTCCTGGGAATATATGAATATACTCACATCTGGGTTGTCTTTTCTTTCTCCCAGGTCTCCCAGATTTGCCCCCAGCTTTGGTTCCTGCTCCCCCAAAAAGAGCTAAGCCTAGCCCTGGCCATCCCTTGGCTGACCATGAGGACCCTGAGGAGAGGCTGAACAGGCACGATCAGCACATCACTGCTGTCTTGACTAAGATTATTGTGCGTCTCACCCTGGCTGAGTGGGACAAGGCATCCTAGGGCAGCAACAACATTGGGTGGGGGTGGTGAGCCTTATGAGTAAAGGATGATTTAGAAAGGTGGGACTTTATTCCCCTGCAATCAGGGTGGGGGCTAGTTTAGAATCACTGTCCCCCATCACTTCTTGGCATTTTGGCTAAGATCAACTGTAGAATAACTGTGCCCTAAAAAGCAAGGTGGGTTTATCACTTCCTAGAGTGAGGTTCTAGTTATACAGAACTGGGGCTACTGGTATAGGCTCCAGCCTGGGGAAATCTCTGTATCATCACTCCTTTGTACTCTCTTGCTGCAGGAACGAGATACAAGTTCAGTGGCTGTGAATTTGCCTGTGCCCAGTGGCGTTGCATTCCCCCCTGTATTCCATCGCTCACAGGGGAGACAGGTAGGCAGGAGTAACCTTAGATGGTGCGTTAGGGTACAGTCAAGTGAGCCTCATAGCGCTTCTTCCTTAGATCAATAATTTTTTTTCATTGATTGTAGAGAGGGAAAGAAAAGGAAAGAGAGAGAGAGAGAAACAGATTTTTTTGTAGTTCCACTTACTGATTTACTCATTTGTTGGTTCTTGTATATGCCTGTACTGAGGTTGTGAACAAAGGTTGTGAACCCACAACCTTGGCATATCAGGATGATGCTCTAACCAACTGAGCTACCTGGCCAGGGCCAGATTGTTAATCTTAATAATGATAAGTAATTCTGTTGTTAAAGTGGCACCATACTAAGCACTTTATATGTATTACTTCATGTAATCCTCATAATAACCATGTAAGATAGGTAACGTTATCCTCTTTCTATCAGATGAGGAAACTGAGATCCCCTCCATATGACAAATAACTTGTCCAACACCATACATCTAATAGAAAAGTCGGAAATCCAACCCAGTTCAGTCAGACTTCAGGACCTCTGCTCCTTTAATACCCTTTTTCCGAGCACTAAGATTGTGATCCTTGGAGATTAAGCAGTTCCCTTTTATCTCTGTTCCAGTGACCTTGGAATAAAGAGGCTGAGAAGAGAATGGGTTAATGAATATCAATCATCCTTGTTTTCTTCTACCCCACAGAGGAAGCCAGCAGTATCTGGGAAGAAAAGCATCTTTGCCCAGGAAATCGCAGCAAGGAGAGTGCCAGAGGCCAGCGTCCCACCAGTTAGAGGAGTTGTGCCTACTCTGGACCCACCAGAGGGTGAGCTGGTGTTGAAGAGACATGGGCTTGGCATTTTTGTGATGCACAATCATAGAGTCATATTTGGATATACGTGTTCCCTGCCTCAAGTATGAATGACATTTGAGCCATCTGAAGAGGAAGCTGTCCCATATCCTCCCTTAGAATATTGAGTATGGGAGGCTTTTGTCCATATCTGGGTCTTAGGTGCAGAAGAGGGCAGGCCAAGGGAGAGGTTAGAAGTGTCTGGCAGAGACTGTAAAATAAAGATAGAAGCCATGATTCCTTTAATGATGCAAATTACTAGCAGAAGAGCTGGGGGGTATGGCCTTGAGGCAGATGGCAGCCTGAACATCTAAGAGAAAAGTCCGAAAGTAGGATGTTTTCTAAGGGAAACCTTAAGTCCAAGGGAAAGAATGAGTACGGGGTAGAGGTGGGGTTCTCCACTCCATGCCTGGGAAAGCTCTAGGGCCTCCATCTGTCTCCAGGGCTAATGGGACTAGAGAAGAGGGCCAGAAAGTCCAATTGGTTTGAGACAATAAAATTGATCATACCCTTCTTCCAGGTCCTGTGACCTATGAGTCACTCACACCCAGAGAGAAGTATCACCAGCCTCCATGGGGCAGCCACAACTTCCAGGAACCCCATCTGGTCACTGGGAAGGGGCTCAGGGGCCAGGAGGCTAAGCAGGAAGCTCAGACCATCCATGAAGAGAACATAGCAAGACTTCAAGCCATGACTCCTGAGGAGATCCTACAGGAACAGCAGAGGTTGCTGGCTCAGCTTGGTATGAGTACCTGGCATTCCTACCAAGACTGAGCTAAGAAGGGGCAGCCACTTGTTAAGGAAAACTTACTGTGATTGCTAGGCTTTGTGCTGAATACTTTAATGCATTATATCATTCTGTCCTCAAACTGTCCTATGAGGTAGGTGGTACTAATCTCATTTACTATGAAAAAGAAATTGAAAAAAACCGAGGCTCAAAATTTTGAGGAATTCTCCCTCAGGTCACCCAGCTAGTAACAAACATGGATGAGAGGTAAACCCGGGTCCAAGTGGTCCCACAGGCCCAGCTCTTAAACACTCTGCTGTGTGTACGGTATTACCCTCGTATAATACACATTGTATTATAGCTCTTCTCTAGTGTGGCTGCAGTATGCTCTACTACACCTCCCTCCTAGTTTCTGTGCACCAAGTCCACCTTGTTCCAAACTGTAGCACCTATGTAGAGCGTAGTGTATATTAGGTTTCTAGTGAATATTTGTGCATAAATAAATTAGCTAATTTATTTATGAAAGACAAATTGTTCCCCTAAATGCCTTCCCTTTCGCCCTAGTCAACATTAGTGATTTTTTTCCACAGCCACTTACTTTGGGCCTATGACCTAGAGCCAGGCACAGGGATGGGCATACACCTGGGCCACGGGACTATGAAGGGTGGAGGCGTGGTTAGGCAGGCAGGTCATGGTGACAAGTATGAGTTATTGAGGCCCCAGGAGAGCACAGGGGGCTCAGGCCAGGGCTGGGAAATGGTTTATCTTGGCACCCGAAGGCAGGCGGTATTCAGGTTTCAGGTTTAGAGGAGGTTAGGGAGAATCTGCCCTTACTCAGTCTCCCCTCCCTCTCTCCTCTAGATCCCAGCTTGGTTGCTTTCTTGAGATCTCGCAGCTGCACCCATGAGCAAGCAGAACAAAAGGCCGCCGAGGAGCAGAGACCAGGAGGACCCTCTCTTGAGGTTACTGGAGAAGGCCCCACTATGCCAACTTCTGCCAGTGAACCCAGGCAGGAAGATGAGCCAGAGCTAGGAGCCCCAGGTTTGCAGGAAGTGGGGGCACATCTTTTTGGGTATAAAAGTAGAGGAGAGTATTCCTTCTGGCAGATGAGAAAAGAGAACCTTCTCTGTCCTTGAAGATCTAACATGAATCCTCATTGTTGCATTGAAATCAGTCTTCATGTGCAGTGTGTCGTGGCTGAATGGCCCCTCCCGCGGCAGACCATCTTCTCCCTTTGCTCTAGCTACCCCAGCTGTGGCTCCATCCATCCCAGTTTTCTGCCCCTGCTCTCAGTGTTGGGGGGAAGAGAGCAGGGCCAGGGTAATGGGGGAAGAGTGACGCAGGTCTTATGAACATGCCAGGCCTGAAGCACAGGGGCCAGTGGGAGCACTCATTTCCCAGGAATTTGATTATTTTATTAGTGA